CAGTGTCCTCTATTGGACTTGTGTCCAGATGTGTGCAACGTATGAAGAGCCACGTCGCTGCCTGGACGCAGAGCTACTTATACAAAGTACGGAGGATAAAGTATACTTTGATCGGTATGATTCAAGAGCTGACTTGAGAACCAAAAAGTCCGCGTGCCCCCCTTTTTTTTCTCAAAATCCTCGAATAGACCGGTCACTTTTTTGCCGCCAAAATCGCCCCGATTGGCACCCCTAACTGTGGAACAAAGTCGCGGTTGTTCATGGTTTGCTTCTCTTATTGTTCCAATAAAAAAAATATCAAATATGGTCCCTTACCAACGTCCGAACCGAGAGTTCGAAATTCGACTCTGACCTCTGCAGCATTCAGGGAGGGCCGTTGTGGTCCTCAAGACGGCGCATGGCCAGCCTGCAAGACCTGGGGGGAGACAGGTGATCACGTAGCTTCCTCGTCCTCTTGACCTGAGCACGAGTAGGCGTGCCCAGCATGCTGCCGTTGCTGAAAAAGCGGCTGCTGTTGATGTTGCTGCTGCTGTTGCGGCGGCGGCGCTTGGGCGTGGTGGCGATGGCAGTATCATGACCACCGTCGTCGGTTGAGCCATGAGCTTCGAGCTCCGTTTCCGCGACACTGGCTCCGTCGCTGTCAGAACCATGTGCCGTCGGCGCAGGATCTTCGAGCTCAGTGTCTTCCAGCCCGGTGTCCGGATCAGCCGGAATTTCATGCACGACCTGTGTTGGATCGTGGGTCTCGGAGCCACCGACACTGTCGGTGTCCGAGCTGGTGTCGTCGCCGATGATTGTTCCGTGGTTGTTGTTCATCCTGTGTTTTGTTAGGATCTCTGCTGTGGTGAGATCGAGGTACACATTTGCAAGATCCGGTGCGTACACATGCTGCTGGCAGAGAGATACTGTGTCATCCGTGGCCGCGTGGCATGTACTTACACTTGAGTGTGTATGTCGAGAGAAAAGTGTCTTGTTTGATTTTCGTTTACAGAATATGTATCAATCCACAACAGACAGTTTTCCGGTGTGTTTTGGTGCAAGCGATCAAGGACGTACAGCAGATGTACAGTGGGAGCTGTAGTTCAGCAATGTCGGAGACCACTGTTCGTCTCCATCTGGGAACACCTGTGTCTACTTTACGTCAGGGTACAGCATGTGTATGGTGATGCTATATACATCAGATCAGCGTACACGACAGCAATAGTAGACGATATGGCTTATGAATGAGGATCTTGTTATCGAGACACGTGAACCACGCGCAACACAACCTCTCTCTCTCTCTTACTTTTCAGAAGATGAAACGATGTTGCCCCAACTTGTCTCTGCTCCTGTAATCGTGATGTGCCGCAAGGTGTGGTGGCGCCGTGCACAGCAGTTGTCTCTGCTTCTATATCCGTGATGTACCGCAAGGTGTGGTGGCGCCGTGTACAGCAGTTGTCTCTGCTCGGTGTTGTGCTTTTGTGTATGCCCCTTCTCTGCTCGGGGTATTGTGCTTTTGTGTATGACTGGTCGCTGCTCGGTGTTGTGCTATTGTTCTGCTTTTGTGAATTGTACCGCTGCAGCGGGGACGCGGGGTCTCCATCCCCCGTTTCAAAGAAATAAATAAAGCCTCCTGAACTTTGTCCCACCTGAATCTCTTTCGTTGGCTGGTGCAGCGTCGTCGGCTGTGCAGCGTCAGCGCTAGCACCCCATCCTTCCCACCAGCATCCAACCGCCATGCATCCCTTTTTCCTTCCCATCAATTTTCTCCATGGCCATCCATCCCCAATGTACGTGCGCGCGGCAGTTCCGTCGTGCCTTCTCCCGATTTCCATGCCATCCTTTTTCTCCCCACGACCACCCCGACCCCGCACCCCTCCAACATTGCATACTGCGCGCAACAGTTTGTATGCCGCGTGTTGTATGCGGCATACGTCAATCGCCGCACCGGCTCCTGGCATGTGTGCGCCACCACTCCAATGTGTTTCGTTTCTCACGTTGGAAAGTATGTAGCTTGTAGTGTAATCCGAGAGAATGGTAGCTCTTCCGTTCTGCGGAATCGCCGGATAGAGTGACATAGGGACTCTCATGGTATTTCTGTGTGCCCCCTGGTAGCCGTTTTAATGGCAAGCTAAGCCGTTCCTGCCGAGAACGGGGTGCAGCTGCGTGCACGCCCAGTTCGCGGCCGCTAGGCTTGTTTGTTGCCTTAGAATAAATTGAAATATAGACCATCTCTGAAATACCGCTTGGCTGCAGCGAGCAGCAGCCTCTCACGCTATCTTGCTTGTTTTGGAGACCAGCAAATGCACACAACACGCAAAGTCAGGTTTCAGAAACTTCAACTACACGCTTTGTCGCCCTCAGCAGCTGGTGTCGAGACTGACCCAGGAACAGCGATTTGTCGCCCTCGGCAGCTGGTGTCGAGACTGATTCACTAACAGCGAAATGTAACCATGTATTACATTAACCGACACGCAAGCCCCGCGGGCAAGTGCAAGGTAAGAGGAGCACATCGCCAGGGGGGGTAGCCGCACTTGGATCACGACCACATACATATCTAACATGCATACTTCCCATACGCGTGTCCCCGCAGACGATGCTGCTTTCCGATTGGCCAATATTTCATCTTCGATTTGAACGCCTATCTGTGGATAAATATGCCTCTGTAATCTTCTTCGTATGCGTATGATAGTACGCACTGTGAGTTTCCGCTCGGTCACCTCGTAACCGAAATCCACCCTTCGTCTTACATGAGGAGCAGCTTGCTGCTTGCTGCTTCTGCTGATGACTTATTGTACTCACCGCTCTCTCTCTCTCTTTCTCTCTCTCTCTCTCTCTCTCTCTCTCTCTCTCTCTCTCTCTCTCTCTCTCTTACTGTCCCTTCCTATCAAACTAAACGCAGCAAATTATGCATGCGTTGTGTGCAACTCTCCAGACAAACGAAAACTAACTCTCTGTCGTACAAAAAAGCAAGAGTGCACTGCTCCCAAGATGCAAAAAAACGAAGTAGATTTGCTTCCTCCCGTGCATGGTGTCGCGAAGACGCCACTGCTCAGTCTTCAACGTTCACAGCGAGCGCCTGTACATCATCATCAGCAGTACAGCGAGTGTCGTTCGAAATAGTATCAACTCGGTCGGGAAACAGGTGTTGGGTGGCTTGCTTGGTGCGCTCGGTGCAGTGGCTGTAGACGGCAAAAATAAAAGAGAAAACTGCACCTTCCCAACATAACATTTGTTCAGCCTGTTACCCGCACGGGAGATGTCCCTGTATGCTGTCTGGGAAATCGTAGACATGCAGGTAGTTTTCTCTGACGCTATGATTCCATTGTTAATCTGCCTCTCACTCTTTTCTATAATAGAGATGGACTCGTTGTGTCATATTAAGAAAAAAAAAAGAACCGCGCGGCGGCAAGTTTTTGCCGCAAACGACAAAAAAAAAAATACCCTCGGGGGTTACGGACTTGCAGGTGTATGACACAAACAAACTCGTCCCTGTATAAATATTATATATACATAAATACCTGACGGGGCTTGCCACTAGGAGATTCGCCGGAAGCCGCTTCTTCGCTGTGACGCTTCTTGGCCTTACTGCCTTCACCACCTCCGATGTCGTCAGCGCTACGAGACATGCTGGCACCACCCGTGGCTCTCTCTCCGGCCGATTCTCCGGTAGCAACCTGAGAGAGAGAAAAATCGTTGCTTTTTTAGACCTTCGATCTCACCCATGTTTCATTCTGAAACCACCGCAAACCGCAAACAGCTTGTTAAACGACAAGAAGAACGGTGGTGTGTGTGTGTCTTAATTATTAGCATCGACCGCGCTAAACGGCAGTGTGTGTGTGTGTGTGGCAAATAACTTGAAAAAAGTGGTATAGGACAGACGTCTCCAAAGAAAGGAAAGGCCAACACACCTGGGTCTGCTGAGTGCGCTGCTGCAGTGTGCGTATGAGCTTCATGAGCACCTCCTTGTTCTGGTCGCACTGCCGCTGCTCGCATTCCTTCGTCACGATCCGACCCGACAAGTGGGTGTGCACGGCTGCTTGGTGAGAGTTGAGGTCGTCCATCACACCTTTCCATTCCTGTCGGTGCTCATCCAGCTGTTGTTGCACCTTCTGCATCTCCATCACATGCTCCTTCCGACGCTGCTCTTCTTCCATCTCGTATTCGTGTTGCATCATAAGTTTCTGGATCCGCCGCTGTTCACTTTGCTTGTCGTGCTTCATCTGTACCTGACGAACCATCTCCTTCAGGTGCCTGTTCTTGCTGGCGTACTGATTCCATTTCTGCTGTTTATCCCAAAAAAGGCTCAAACTTTTCAGCTGATCAACGAGGCGCTGGTGCTCATCTTGCTGAGAGTAAAGGCTTTGTAGCAACTCCATGGCGAAGTGGTCGCTTTCATGTTGTTGTTTTGCCACCGATGTTGTTTTACCGCTCGTGGTGAACTCGTTGGGGAGAGCCATGCTTGAAATGTTCGAATGTTCTGCCATGCGAGGGATATCGAGAGGTACAGCAGCACGGATCCGAGTTTGAAACTAATCTCTGCGGCGTCGTGCTCTACAGTAAACGATCGTGCCATTCGGATGGTATGGTGCAGCACCACCAGTGCAAGGATCACGAGATCCAAGTGGACAGAACGAGAGTCGCGAGAGGAGATCAGCGCGGACAGCAGTAAGCTATATGATCTTTTTTGTCCAGCGTTCGCAGTGCTGTGAGAGCCAACAACTCCAATCGACGAGCTCACACATACATGTTGCCAACGGATCACAGTTAGGAGCAGCGCTAAGCCATACCTGATTTGTATAATGCCCGTCCCGATGCCAGCGCCGATCCCTCTCTGCTCCCTCTCTGCGCGATTAGATCCTCCGGGTGGCTAAGGCTTCACGGTGTGCTGGATGGTGTTGTGAGGGGAGGCGAGGGTGACAATCGCTGTGATTGCGGTCAGATGACGAGTCGGACGAGGCGAATGCAGGTTATCTTGTAAATTGCATTTGGCTACGGTCGCCAAAGTAGAATATGATTACTTACAATTTCGTCACGGATATGAAGTCGAAAGAGTCGGATCCTGATATCTTGGCTGCGGTCGCCAGAGTAATGGTTACAAGAACAGCACGCCAACAACCACAGAGGATCCAATCCATTCAATTACCCCGTTTAAACTACGCGATGATGTGCCGCTGCTGGTCAAACCTTGTGTGTTTCGATCATCGTCAACTGCACTATTAATACCACGAGCATTCGTGGGTGTTGGTGACATCGTTTCAAATTCATCATGAAAGTCATCCTCTTCATTGGCACCCCTGTCACCGATCCCCCCACTCCCGCAGCCGCTCTGCATGCAATTGGCTGCCCCATCCCTGGTGGGTGATGCGGTAAATGCCGAAGCAGACGGTTGTGTGGTGGGTGTTGCGGTAAATGCGGAAGCAGACGGCGACGCACTTGGTGCGTACGTCTCGGCGGCCGCATCCACTTCATTTGTGCGGTAGCCGCTCTGGTCGAAGGGGTCGATCGCAGCAGCGTTGGTACAGATATCCCCGAAGGTCACGTCTGAAGCGGAATTGATGCACGATCCACTCGAAGTGTACATCATGTCCACTGGAAAGGTGTTGCCCTCAATAAGAGTGTTTACCGAGTCCCCCATATCGAAGCTAGCCCAGTCTTCGACCGTGTTGGCTACTAGCTGGGTGCCTACGGAGTCGTCCAGTCGTGCTCCCCCGGTGTTCCCAGAAAACTGGTTCGCAAAAATCACATTGCTGGTGGGGTTTCCGCTGTCTACCTCCACCACCGCATCATTACCCGCGTACTGGTAGAGGTCGTGTCCAGTGTTTTCCTCAAAGGTATTGTCGGCCACCACATTTTGGCGAGACCCGACAGAGAACCGAATTCCGTGTACGTTTTCCCGCACGGTGTTGTTGTACACGAGACCTCCACTAGATTCTAAAAAGGCAATGCCGCTGTCGCCATTCCTCTCTACAGTGTTGTGCGCGATGTATGCGTTGTTGGACACGAAGTGTGGAAAGATTCCCACGCCGCCGTTGTCGTGCACGTGGTTGTTGGTGACTACTGCATTGTGGCAATACTTGGACCATATCACGCCATGATTGAAATTGAAGTACACCTCATTGTGCGAAATGGTAATGTTGACAGAATCGTCGTGGGGGTCAAATCCATACACTTCGTTGTTGTAAACGCTGTTTCCGCTTAAGAGAGCGAATGACTGTCTGTACCCATAGTGGCCATAATACATGTCGTGGACATCACTGTCAAGCAGGTTTCCGTACACCCCGACTCCCTCGTACAGGTCCAGGTTGGATTTATCGTTGCAAACACCGCGTAATTTCCAGCTAATTCCCCAGCTTTCTACTTCCTCGTATCCTAGGAAAGCGATCTCGCAGTTTTGAATATCCATGCGTGCTTCTCCCATGTCCTCCTTGGCGGAACCTACGCACGTTTCACTAGCGTCGAGAACAACTTCAGATATGGCGCTGAGGTACGAGCGACCATCACTCCAATCAGTGTCTACGTCACCTTTGGAGGAGTCCCACGAGGTTACCTTTGTGTTGAGCAAATCCAGCGATCCTCCGTGAGCGCGAATGCTTACTGTCATTTCAGAGTCGCTTCTGAGCTTGATGTAGTCTACATCGCCCCCCGCATCGGTTCCATGCAGGTTAAAGGTAATGCCATCCAAAACGTACAGAGATTCTGTGAGCATCCATTCCCCGGGTGTTTCAAGGGGATGTAGTGGGCTGGCGTCGCCCAAAGCCTCGTACACAGTCGTAGGGCTAGCACATCCGCCACGAGACCCGTCGACGGACTCTATGTAGATGCGCTGAGACGTAGAACTGTAGCGGACCGAAACCTCTCTTGAGGCATCACATACAGGTTTGGGGATGGGTGTGTTTGCCTGTACGCCGAAGAAACCACATGTAAGAACGGCAAGTGTACCCAAAGAACGGATCATGTTTTATTTTACACTTGCGCAATATTTTATTTTGTACATAGCAAACAAAAAAAAGCTCATTCCACAGGCACCTCATCCCTTTAAGTCAACGAGTGGAGACGTTGACTGTTTAATTTCCTTAACCAGCAGCTTTTTTGGTGGAGGTACTTTATACTTGATGCTGATTCCAAGATTACGATTCTCTTTTCCAAACTCGCTGAACGTGTAAGCCATCGCTTTTTTCTCGCTGCTTTTGGCATCAAAGTAGCTGCTTCTAGCCGACCTTCTATCCACTTTTTTTTCGTGTAGACATGGCAAGCAATTGCCCATGTTCGGCTAGACATAAAACAATATTTTTTTGCTGATTATCGAGACACGCAACCACATCCCTCCTCCGTGAAAGTGCGAGGACACATTCATTCCTTCAACTGATTCAACGATGAAAGGCACCCACCATCGCACCTACGGCGATACCTTCCGACCCTCCATCTGTCAAGCAACGTTCGACATCAGCAAGTGTGGACAATACCTCTCCCACTCTATCCACACCCATCTTTTCATCGCCGCACGAGATGATACTCTCTACCAGACGGGGGATCATCTGTGTGAGAGAAAACTGGCAGAGGTCAATAAGTGACATGAGCGTCGTGTACCCAACCGAGAAGCTTTGGTTGAGTAGCACGTCGAAAATCTCACTGGTTTGGGAGGGGGAGGGTAAGCCACATGTAGTATACACGGCTTGGTCGTCGCGCGCAGTAAGGGTTGTGGCGTGACCAAGGCTGAGGCTCTGTAAAAGGTTGATGCCTTGCCTCGCATCTCCCGCGCAAACGTTCACGACAGCATTCAACCCCTCCTCTGATATTTCCAGACGTTCTTTGTGCGCTACTTTCCGTAGAGTGCGAGCGAGTTGCACGTTCCCAATACCAGAAAAGCTGAATGAGGTGCATCTGGATCGCAAACCGCTGGACAGTCTATTGATGTAGTTGCAGCAAAGGCAGAACCTTGCGCGACCACAAGTGGTTTCGATCAGATGCCTCAACGCGCGCTGTGCGCAACTAGTGAGGCCATCCGCCTCGTCTAGTATAACTAACTTTAGCGCGTTGGTCGATTTATCGGACACAGAGGAACATCTGGTAAAGAAATTAATTTGGTCGCGCATGGTTCCAATCGAACGGGAGTCTCCTGCGTTAAGTTCGAGGGTCATGGTAGAGATATTGGTCCCTCCGAAAAAGCTTTTCGCCATTGAAAGGATTGACGACGTCTTCCCGCTTCCCGGTGGGCCGTGCAAAATCAAATTTGGAGTAGCCTCCATGGATTTGAACGTTTGCAAAGCTCTGATCACTTGATCATTACCGCTTACATCCTGGAGTCTTGTTGGGCGGTGTTTCTCTGTCCATGAAACCATGTGCACGGATAGTTGTGAGAAGAAACTTTAGTTTCTTTGTCTGTAGTTATCACCAAATAATGTCCCGGCGACTTCTTGTGACTGGCGGCATCGCTATCGCGCTCAAGGGAATGGTGATGAGCGGAGGCGTGAAAGAGATTGTATCGTTTAGGCCTTGGATTGATACCTCGCTCGTCGGTGGAATAGTGTTTAATTTGATTTTGCTCGTCGTTTTCGCTGAACTTTACTGGCAGCTAGACGAAGGGGATCATCACGCACACTTCGGCTCCTCAGCCGCGATCGACGCTTACTATTTATTGAGAACCGTCGACTCTACCCGTAGCAGTCGGCTACCGTGACTGAATGTGCCGGAAAAAAACAACGGCAAAAAAAAGTCTGTTCATGCCTGAAACGAAAGCAACGAGAAAAAAATGACCCTCTGCTTCTATCAACTACTCCCTCTGTTGGTAGAAATCTGTTGCTATAAAGTACTGAGAGCGCATGAGGCATCTCCCGCAATACACGCCGCGAAACCCCCCCCCGCAAAAGGAAGGATCTCTACTCTCCGAACGTGTTCACATGCGAATCCTCGCCGCCATCACCATTCCATCGTAGTTGTATCATCCCCTTGCACAGATCCAGCGTCGTCGACACCCGCGCCGCCGTAACCACTCCAAAACCCTTGCCCCCTCGCGAAGGTGATGTTGGACACGGGTCTACCGCGCCAGGGCCTGTGACACACAACATCGGAAAAACACAAGGAAAGGCAAATGTGTTGGGACGGTTTCTTCACGTGATGTCGGATTTATTCACAGGAAACATCTTGATGGCGAGCGAGCAGTGTACATGGTTGTATCTGACCGATGGCTGCCGGTGTCAATCTCCGCCGGTTCGCTACCGGGCGTATCTGACCCGACAACTACCTATCACCAGATCCCTCTAGCTATCAAAGGATCCGTGAGAGAGAGAGAGGGAGAGAAAGAGAGAGAGAGAGATGGTCTACGCGTGCGTGCTAGCTTCATACATTCCAAGCAAAGGATGTTGTTGCGCCGCAGCACAGAAAAGCAGTACTCATCAATTATACACGAAAGGGCTTCACCTGTTGCTGTTCGCGGGCTCCAGGAGATCGTGCTGGCCAAGCTCTGGGTGAATGAGCTGTTCTTCCTCAAGCATATGCTCGACGCAGTTATTGCTGGGAACTTGCTGCGTAGACACCATCGCTTTCATTAAGCTCAGGGCGAGGACCAGCGCTTGAGACAGCAGAGAAATGATCTTGCAGATCTTCCCGTGAACATCAACCGGCACCACGACGATGGTGGAGTTGAACTGGACTGGTGAGCGACCATCTGTGTTTTGTGAACGGCTCTCTATGTCAAAAGACGTCTGATCCATACTTGGAAGGGGTGAAGAGCCGGTGGTGTGTGGCACGTAGGGGCACGTGGAGGGGTATATCACCCGGGAGCAAAGTGGGAGGCATACCACCACCAAGAAGATCTCATGTATGTATTAACCCAGCATATATATTCTTATTCCCGATGTACTAGGTTTGAATCTCACACACGCCTCAAGCATATGCTCGACGCGGTTGTCGCTAGGAACTTGTCGCGTAGACACCATCTCTTTTATCGAGCCCAGAGCGAGGACCAGCGCTTGGGACATCAGGGAAACGATCTTCCCGTGAACATCAACCAATGGTGGCGTTGAACTGGACGTGGCGAAGTGACAGGCGTATTTCACGATGGAGCACAGCGCGACGGATACCACCAGGATCTCAACGTCTGTGGCAATACATTATTATTCTCCAAAAATAGTTGCTGCTGCTGTGGTTGGATCTCACACACGGTGCCGCGCACAAACGCTTACTTTTTCAAGCTAGAAGAGACTCTGTGCCGTTGCGTGTGAAGAGCAAAGCTTGCCTTGGCGTGTGGAGAGCAGGGTTAGGTGAGTGTACTGTGGTACTGTGGCACATAGACGCTGGATTATCCTGTTTGGCAACAGGTTCCCTCCTACTCTCCGCCTTTGTTTCGGGGGCCTGAGAAAAAGGAAAAAAAGAAAGAAGAAAGAAGAAAAGTCCCCACAAGCGTGTTGCTGTAGTAGGTGCGGAGTGAGCAGGAGATCACTGACCTCTTTCTGCGCTGTGAATGGGCGCCAACTATTGTCCCCTCTCGGTGATCCTTTTGTACATCACCAGTCGAGCTTCTACAGCAGCAGCACCAGCAACAGAGATAGGAGGAGGTGTTACAAAATCTTGAGATCCCGCCTACTGCTGCTGCTGCTGCTGCTGCTGCTGCTGCTGTGTACATGTTGAATTCCCAAAGGCAATCTGTTTGCTCTCTGTCTCCCTCGCCACACCACCATACAGCAACAGCAGCTAGAGTGGAGTGTGGTATAAATAGTGCCACTGCGTCAGTATGCCAAGCTCTCTTGCTGTTGTGAGTTTTGTTTTCTTCACGGCTTCCGCGAACAGCAGCAGCAGAAGCAGCAGCAGCAGTTCTAGGGCGTGTTGCGTTCATGTACCACACACCCTTCCTTCTCTGTGTGCTAAATAGTAGGCCTCCCGGGCCAGCCACGAAGATCATACAATGGTTAACCCTTTGGTGACTACGTGCACGATAGCAGCGCGATAACTTTGTGTGCGCTCACTCAGATAATCGACCCCGCGGTATAACTATCGCCAGAAATGGAAAAAAAATAACGAAAAAATACATCATCTAGACCATGCCCTCTCCCTTGAGCGGACATTGCATACAGCAAACGAACCTCTCCTCACTCCCAATATTCCGGGCTACACACACCGCAAGTTATACCAAACATCAGCCACCGAGGCAGTACGTCAGCATCGGCTCCGGTGTGCGTTGTCTCTGCTCCCGGGGACCGGGTCGATCACATGTTGGTGTTGTTTGTACCCTCCAGTGGTATTTTTCTGTTTTGGATCTTACAGGGTGGATTGGATCTGGAAAGAGAGGACATATATATCTGACCCACACCAGAGACATTATTACTGCTGTACGTATGCATATGACGAGTTTTGCGAATCAGAATACCTACAACAAATGCTTTGGGTCAAACACTCGTAACGGGGAGAAGGGAATCCTGACTAAACAACAAAAATGAACAGTACGGACGGTCATCGACCGACGGGATGACACAAGATACCACACCCCCAGGACCGCTTCAAACCTCGTCCATCACGAAGAGGATAAAGAAGTGAAACGATACGTGTTTTCGGAAAGCTCTCGACGAGACGGCTTCAACGCCGCCGTTGCCGTTATTGACAGTCATTCTGTTGTGGAGAAATAGAGCTTTGAAAACAGCTTCAGGGGGCGGCGATTTGCGTGTCACCTACGGTGGTAGTGATACTCACTCTAGCGTCTACGGTCTCCACTTCCAGCCGACTACTCGAAAATTCTCACCTTCTTCGCAGATCTCATCCATCCGACTTGTAGACACCAAGCCCAAGTATGTATGCCGTTCGAACTCCTCAGCAAATTCATTGTCCGGCTAGGCATGCAGGGTCAGGATGGTTATCGATCACAGTTGATGACAGGCCAGCAGAGCTCGTGTCTGGACAGAAACGTCTTCGACGCCCGCGGGTAGAATACTCGGCGATGGACCTTTGAGAGGTCTAGTCCTATTCTTTCAGTGGCCTCCATTCCAAGGGCCAGGTCCTTGTTGTGGGTAGATCCCTGTGCCCATCATGGGGCTGTGTGCCGATCATAGGGATGTGTACTCTGGACCAGAGTCTCTGGTAACGACCACGTCGAAAGTTTTACGCGGAAAACCGGTTCTTCCCAACAGGAGCCACCAATATTTTTTTGCCTATTGGTTCTTTCTATCTGTGCTGTTCACGCCCTCTGATTGGTTGGGCGACTCGGCATGCTGAGAATTCACGTAGTTTTAGGAGAAAAGAAAGCCCGCATATCTCGCATCGTTGCTGTTTATGCACAGCGCATCAGCCGGACTTCTACGGCAGCAGTAGCGGTAGTCAGAGCGATATCTCCCCCGTGGTTAACAGGCTCAACAAGACAGTCGGGTAGCCGTCTTGTGTATCTCTCTGTTTGTTGTGCTGGGAAGGCGTACGAGGAAGGGGTTGGGATGATGATGGTTGAAAAACACATGACACGTTTTGTTGTTGTTGTTGTCTCCACATGAATTAAGAATCGTCCCGATCTCTCTCTCTACCCAGTACCTTCGTGTGTCCGTACTGATCCAACACTCGACGCGGTGGATTCCCGTAGTCGCAGGCTAACTTACCCTTAACAGTTACACTCAGATAAACTGGCCCCGAGGGGTCCGCAAGTCAATAGAAATCAACGACAGATATTCTGGAGTCCTCCACTCTCTTTGCGCGCTATGCGAGGTAATAACTGAGACTAGGAGTCACCATCACGGATGCCGGAGAGAAAGAGGTACACCCCCTTGGTTCAATCTCGGTACTTCACGACGCAAGCAGAGACAAGGCCGTCTGGCACAGAAAAAGAGGGGAAAAAAGAACACAAAGAAAACTAGAAAAAATAAAAATAAAAGGAAACAGTGAGGAAAGAGAAAATAAAATGAAAAGTAGCGAGGACAAAAAGGGACCAGGCCGAAAATAACAAGAAATAAGAGACAGAAAAAAGGCGCACGGTGGCGAGACCACTAACGAACAAGCAAACACGCAAACATGGCCATGAACTAGCGATAAATTGTAATAGTACGTCATGGCTACCGGGGGTCGTTGCAATAGTGCAGCGTTGGGGGGGGGGAATGGGCTAAAAGAATTTCAATCCGGCACGTGTCGCGCCACTCGGTCCGTCTCTTCTCGTTTGCTTTCTTCCCTCGCCGTCTCGTCCGCCTCCTGCCCCCCCTCCCTCCCCATTGGTTGTTGGCTTGTTGTTTCGTTTGAGCGCCCGTTGTCGGCTGGCCTCTTCTTCCATCTCGTGCCAGGAGGTCATGAACCTCTCAGCTCCCTGAAGCACCGCCACATGCCAGGGTACTCCCCCCTCCACCTTCGCGGCTTCCGTGCACTTTAACTTCGGTGT